CTCAGCACGGACCCCCGTGGGGGGAGGGCTTCCGCAGTACACTCTAGAGGAGTACCGCCCTCAGCTCCGCTGTACCACCTGTGGCATGCAGCATCTTCTTGTTTCTTTGCTCATCTATTGCCTGGAGCGGCTTCAAGGCTGGATTCTCAGCACTGGGCTCGATCCCTGGAGGCCAGCTGGCACCTCATAAATGCATGTTGATGAATGAATGAGTGACCACGGAACATATTGATATTCAGTATGTGATAAGTGATATGGTCAATACTGATTCACATTGAAGGCTGTTTTTTTTTTTTTTGAACCCTGTGAGGCTTGTGGGATCTTAGTTCCCCGACCTGGGATCAAACCTGGGCCCTCGGCAGTGAACGCTCAGAGTCCTAACCACTGGACTGCTCGGGAAGTCCCAAGGAATTCCTCGTCATCTAGAGAAGACTTGGTTCCATTCAGGACTCCCACTTCCTAAGAGAAAGATTTTTCAACACCGTTATTACAAGTCAAATGGGGTCAAATTCCTCTCTCCTGTCCATGCAGTTTTAAGGTTAAGGGTGTCCCCAGGGGGACCTTGGCCCCATCTGATTGGTGACAAGCGGAATCCACGGGGCGTGATGAGAACGACCACCTTCTTGTTTCTCCTCTGACTCTCCGATATTTACTTAGAGGGGTCAGTTCTTCCCCAGCTTTGAAGGAAAACTTGGCCAAGCCCCAACTTCCCTGGACAAACACCAAAGTCCGGTTTCAGAAAACGAGACGGCAAGTCTGCTGTCACGGACCTGGTGGGCGGTGATCTCCTCTTGGACGGTGGGCGTCTCCCCTCAGGCCTCTCCCCCTCCTGCCTTCACCTTAATGGTAATTCTCACTTCAGAGCAGTGGGAGGAAGGGACTTCTGGAAAGTTCTGACTGGATGGGCACCATCGTGGATGGATTCACCCTCTCTGGGCCCAATGAGGGTTCACAGCCGACCCTTTCTCTGCAGAACGCTCATCTGTTCTTCAAAGGCTGCTGCTTGCTTCTTGGAAGGAAAGCTATGACAAACCTAGACAGCAGATTAAAATGCAGAGATGTCAGTTTGCTGACAAAAGTCCATACCGTCAAAGCTGCGTTTTTTCCAGTAATCATGTACGGATGTGAGAGCTGGACCATAATGAAGGCGGAGTACTGAAGAATTGATGCTTTTGAACTGTGGTATTGGAAAAAACTCTGAGAGTCCTTTGAACTACAAGGCGATCAAACCAGTCAATCCTAAAAGAATCAGTCCTGAATACTCATTGGAAGGACTGATGCTGAAGCTGAAGCTCCAGTACTTTGGCCACCTGATTCCAAGAACCGACTCATTGGAAAAGCCCGTGATGCTGGGAAAGATTGAAGGGAAATGAGAAGGGGGCAGCGGAGGATGAGAGAGTTGGATGGCATCACTGACTCAGTGGACATGAATTTGAGCAAATTCTGGGAGCTAGTGAAGGACAGGGGAGCCTGGCGTGCTGCAGTCCATGGGGTCGCAGAATCAGACAAGACTGGGCAACTGGACAGCAACTGGGAACCATGGCAAGTGGTCCATCTGCTTGGCATACGCTGCATCTCCAGCAACGTGGAGGCATAGAACAGGCAGGCATAGAACAGGCAGGCATAGAACAGGCAGGCACCGACTGTTCTATGAGGTGGACACTTGCCACTGTGAGGGAACTTTGTCACAGAGAGTAGCTTGCCAAGGTACACCCTAGGGTGCGTGTCGAGCTGGGGGTGGGGCTGGCTCCTGACTGCCTCCCTCACCCTGGAGGGGCCTATCACATGCTGTGCTGACAGGCACCCCCATCCCAACACGCAGAACCCCGTTCTGGAGCAGGGCGGGCCTCTGTGCAACCCCGGTGAGAGGCAGGGCCCCTGGCCGGGGCTGGGGTCGCTGCCCGACAGAGGTTTGCCCCAAAGAAATTCTCTTGTCCCCCTCCCCCCAGCAAACCGGCCACCTCCCCCCATCCCGGCCCGCATCGCTGCCACACCTCCCCTTGAAGCCTCTGTGGAAACTTCCTGTTACACGTGGAGGAACAGGGGCCAGAAGTCACCCAGAGCCATGTGACAGCCGGGGTTGAACTGGGCCTTAAACCTTCTTGGGGGTTCCCTATGGAGGGTCTGTCTTTCCGCCTCATGCAGGGAGGAGCTTCAGAGATCCAGAAGTTTCCATGCAGGTGCTCTGCCGGCCCCGACCCTGCTGGACAAGCCTCGCGGTCCCCTGGCTCCCAGAGGTACCGGCCTCTCAGTGTACCCCGGAGCCCCCAGCTGGAGACCCTCCCAAAGCCCGGTGCCCCGAACTTTTCCTGCGGAGGCCAGCCAGAGTGAGGGGCTGGCTACCGGTTCTCCTCCGTGCCCCGCCCTCCTGTGGGGCCTCCCAGGCGGCCCATTAGCCCGCAGCCTCGGGCTCCTGCAGGGAGAGGCCTAATGCAGCCTGTCCCCCAAGGGCCCTGCTTCCCGCAGACGGATTGGGCATCTCTCCTCCTCAGAGGAGGCAGAGCCTGGGGTGGATCCCGGGGACCAGCCCGTCGGACTCCGCGAGCCTGCAGCCGGACCTGCAGCAGAGAAGCCGACGGGCCAGGCCCCAGGAAGCCGCCCAGGCCTCCGGGAGCCAGGTCCTCCTCCAGGAGCGGACGGCGCGGGCGGGCCAGGTGAGAGGCCGCTGCTTCAAGCCCGAGGTCAGACCTTGCCCCCCGCACGGCAAGCGCACCCTGAGCAAGGCCGCTCCTTCTGGGGCCGGGGGTCAGGCGGACCTGAGGCCTGGACGGTCCTGAATCTCCTCTCTTGTGGGAGAGACGGGAGGGAGAGTGGCCCTTAGGTCTGCTGAGTTCCTCAGGCCCCCAGGGCCAGCGGTGCCATAAGCCCTGCGTGGGAACAGCCCCGCCCTGGGTGCCTGGACGTCGTCTGTCCGGCCCCCAGCAGGTGCCCCCCAGGTCGAGGCGAACACAGACAGTCCTCACCGAGCTTGCCGGGGACCGGAGGGACTCTCATGGCCCAGACGTCTCCTCTCGTCCGGCAGACGACTGTGGGAGACCCCTGCCTGCCAGGCACCCGGCTCTGCCATCCAGGGGCAGGCGTCCAAGCCGAGAATCGCTGTCCGGGGGCTGAGGCCAGCCGGCCGGCCCCCCAAGTGCCCTGATATCCCTGCCCCACCCGATGACCATGGCCCAAAGGACCTGCATGGCCATCTCAGCAGACGGGGATGGGTCTCCAGGGGGCTGGAGGAGGGTCACGACTCCAGGGTGGGCACTGGACAGTCGGGGGTACATGTGCTAGTGTCTGAGCCAAAGGTGGGGGCCCAGCGGGGCAGGACTCGCCCGGTGGAATGCGGCATACCGTGGTTCCTGATCCCTCCGAAGCTTTCGGCGGTCAGGCCCCACGCTGTCCTCCACACACATCTACAGGAGGACAATCAGGTGGCGGACTCAGGTCCTTTATAAGGAGAAATTAAGGGCACACGGCCTGGGGCCACGGCTGCCGCCCCCTCCCCCAGAAGCCCCTTCGGCCTCAAGCAGCATCTCTCAGCCCTGACTCTGGGGGGAGGTGGGAGGGGGTGTGGGTCCCTCGGGACCAGGAAGGGGTCTTGTTCAGGTCCCATCCCCCACCCTCACCCAGGCGGGGCACTGAGGAGGCCTCGGCAACCAGTTCGAGAATAAACATGACCCGTAAAATGAATATCACTGCGGCTTCCCAGGTGGCGCTAGAGGTAAAGAACACGTCTGCCAATGTAGGAGATGATAAGAGATGCGGGTTCCATCCCTGGGTCGGGAAGATACGGACATGGGAGCCTGGCAGGCTACAGTCCATGGGGTCGCAAAGAGTCAGACATGCCTGAGCATGCATGAATATTGGTTAGAAGCGATACAATCCATTACACCATTAGTTCAGGAAAAAAACAACCTTTGTAAAATGAAATGGCAGCTGCCCTGGGGACCGATTCCCTGATTCCGCACCCAGAGCCTTGACGTGTAACAAGCTGGGTTCCCGGGGGACCCTGCCTCCGTGCCTGGGCTCCCAGGAGGCAGCTGAGCCCAGTGGGTCGGTGTGAGGACCGTGACCCTGGTGGGCGCTGCAGGCCAGGAGAGCAAGGGCACTGGGTGCTTCCAGTCCCAGGCTCTGGAGTCCATCCCAGGTCCCGGCCAGGCCCCGAGGACGCTGAGCTTTGCCACCCTGTGTCTCTGAGCCCCGCGTGCCTGGGTGGAGGGCGAGGGGGTCAGACCAGGCAGGCAGTGGACAATGGGAGTGAAAGGCAGCCCCAGGTGAAGGGACGCGCAGGCCCATCAGAGTGTGGACAAACGTCAGGGCTGGGGCGCCCCGGGCCCCAGCAGGTGCTCACAGCGACGAGCTCTGGGGTCTGGCGGGAGGCAAGCCCCGCAGTAAGTGCAGAGGGGCCGTGCTGACCCCAAGGTGGACTCTGGCACCTGGAAAGGTCAGGGGTCAGGGAGCTCACCGAGCGTGCTGTGTGGTCCACTTGGTCCGCCCACCACGATGGGGTGCAAGGTGCCAGGCCCAGGGATCCCTGATCCCAGGGAGGAGCAGTGCCCACCACCTCTCCCAGGGGGCACATCACAGTGACCAGCCATACACAACCACTCTGCCCACCCACGCTGACTGCTGCAGGCCCGGGAGCTGGCCACTCAGAGGCTCCGAGGGACCTGCCCCCAGCAGGGTGGAGGCCAGGCCAGCACTGAGCACGGATGGCCAGTGCCCTGAGCCTTGCCCCGAGCTTGGCCACCCTCACATCCAACAACAGAAACGGACCCTGGCCTGCCCCAGAGCCGGGAGCATGTAACCTGAATTAGGCATGAGGGAAGGTGGCCTGGTGTGGCCAGCGACAGCTCCAAAGAGTGGCAGGTGGTATAACCAGAGGGCGTCCAGTCACCGCCTGGCTGAGTGGAGGTCTCCCACCCTGGTCTTGTCCCTGGGGGTGGGGGGGTGCCTGAGCCACAGGGGCCCCAGCTCTGCGGTCCTCAGCTCTCTCCCCGCTGTTGGCAGGGATGGAGAACACTCTCAACAGCAGCGGCTCCAGGAGCAGCGGTCCGGGCACTGTGGGCCCCACCCCAGGGCCCCCCCACACAGTGCAGGAGGTGCTGGACGCACTGGTCATGTTCACCTGCGTGGGCGGCATCGTGGGCAACGGCCTGGTGGTCTGGCTGCTGGGCTCCCGGCGGCGGAGGGGCCCGCTGGGCATCTACCTGCTCCACCTGGCCGTGGCCGACCTCCTCTTCCTCCTCTGCTTGGCCGCGCTGACCATCCTGAGCGCCAGCTCCTGGGGGGCCCGCGTGCACCACCTGGGCCTCCGGGCGGTGAGGAGCGCTGGGTACCTGGCCTACACGGTGAGCCTGAGCCTGCTGACGGCCGCCAGTGCCCAGTCCTGCCTCCCCGGCCTCTTCCCCACCTGGTACCGGGGCCGCTGGCACCTGCGCCTGTCGACCGCGGTGTGCGCCGCACTCTGGCTGCTGGCTGTCCTGCTGATCGTGCCAGCCTGGTACTTCCACGACGAGGCCAAGCGTCCCCACCCGTGGCCGGGATCCAGGGCGGAGACCGTCTTGCACTTTGTCACCCTGGTCAGCTCCACGCCCGTCATGGCCCTGTCCGGCATGGCCCTCTGCATCCAGGTGCAGAGGAGCTCGCGCCCGTGGCAGCGGCCGCTCACGCGGCTCTACCTGGCCGTCCTGCTCTGCGTCTTCGTGTTCCTCGCCTGCGCCCTGCCCCTCGGCATCTCCTGGCTCCTGCTCTACTGGCTGGACCTGCCCCAGCACGCAAAGACTGTCTTCGGCCGCCTCACCTGCCTCTCTCTGTCCGTCAGCAGCAGCACCAAACCGATGATCTACTTCCTGGTGAGCAGCAGGGGCCACTTGAGCCTGCGGGAGCCCCTGGGAGCCATGCTCAGCACGGTGCTGCAGGAGGAGCCCGAGCTGGAGGAGGGGGAGACGCCCTCCACCGACCCCAGCGATGAGGTGAGGGTCTGAGAGCCGCCCGGAGCCGCCCACCCTATGCCAGCCCTGTGAGCCCTTCCCCGCGGCTCCTGCCCTGCTCCCTCCCTTTCCCGAGCCCAGCGCCCAGTGGCCACTCCAGAGGCAAACAGCTGCTGTGTGCCAGGTCCCGGGGGGTGAGTGTGCGGGGCCGTGAGGAGGGAGCTGCGGTCCCAGGCCCAGGGACATAGAAACTCTTGACAGCAGTGAGGCGAGCCACACGGAGCTCTTAGCCACCCCACAGCCTTGGCGGGTACCCCCCACCGCCAGGTGCCAACCTTTCAGTGGTTGGATCATCAGAGAGGTCCCAGGAGAGGCGGGGCAACTGGGACAATGGTGGCAGGAGGGTGGTGGTCAGGGGGCTCAGGGTGAGTGCCAGTGGTCCATCGCATCTAGATGGGTCTGTATTATTTTTAACACTGATTTACTTGGCTGCCCCGAGTCTCCGTTGCAGAACCTTTGTCACCGTGTGCATCTTCACTGCAGCATGTGGGGTTTTTTAGTTGCAGCACGTGGGATCTAGTTCCCTGACCAGGGATCAAACCCGGGCCCCCTGCAGGGCGAGTGCAGCGCCTTAGCCACCAGACGGCCAGGGAAGTCCCGGTGGTTTTGTATCTTCATTGGACACGCAGCAGCTGAGTGCCAGCGAGGGTGACAGGATGCGAGGGCAGCCGGCAGGCACCACGGGAGCAGTACAGATAGCGGTGACGGGCCGTGGGCCGTGGGCAAGAGAAGGCGTGCACGGAGACAGCGCCGGGGTGGGCGGTCCAGAGTGGACAGAGGCGCGTACCTGGGAGACACACCGGGATTCCCAGGGTCCCAGACCAGGCCAGGGTGCGGGGGTGGCTGCGAGGGGCGGGGCCCTGGGAGCCTCGTGATCCATCAAGGCCGCGGGTCTCTGTGGCGCCCTGTTCACCCAGAGGCCTACAGGCCGGGACAGAGGCCTGGGGTGGGACTGCCACCGTGCTGGGTCCGTGCCCACCAGGAGACACAAGGGCAGGCGGTTTCTGCTCAGCCACGCTCCACAGCGGTGGGCACCCTGCGTGGGCCATGCATACAGCAGGCATTTAACAGGTGGTGTTAACATTTAAACAGGCATTTAACAGCAGCTGTTTGGTGGCGTGCCAGTGCTCACGGGGTGCTCACAGGTGCACCTGGCTTCATCCCCCGCCTCCTTTGGGGCTCTTCTGTCCCCTCTGCATGGGCCCCTGGGCAGCAACGGTCCCCCCAACCCCGCTCCCCTACCCTCTGCCCGCCCCTCCTACAACCCCGCCCACCAGCTCCAGCCCACCCTCTGCCCGCCCCTCCCATAACCCCGCCCACCAGCCCCAGTCCGCCCTCTGCCCGCCCCTCCTACAACCCCGCCCACCAGCTCCAGTCTGCCTCAGGGCCTTTGCACCTGCTGTTCTCCGCCCAGAATGCTCCTCTCCCAGCTGCGCGCAGAGCTCTCTCCCTCACCGCCTTCAGGTCACTGCTCAAGTGTCAGCTCTTCAGAGAGGCCTTTCCTGACCGCCTTACATAAAATAATACAGCACACACACACCCCTGGTCCTCCCACCCCGCTCCACTTGCCCTGTGGGCTCACCACTGTGTGCTACGGGCTCACCAAGAGCAGGGGCTGTGCCCATTTGGCTCACAGCTGTGCTCCACACCTAGGACAATGCCCAGCACAGAGGAGGGCCCAGGACATGTTTGTGGAATGTCCTGCTGGGCAAGCAGGCCTGGGGGCCCAGGGAACAGCAGCCACGATCGTGGGGTGGGGAGGTAACCCAGGTGTCTCCAGTCCATACTCATCTCCAAGAGGGCCCCCCTCAAATGATACACCCCATGAGGGCCCTCCCCCATGCCCAGATGTGAGCATTGGCATTCATGTAGACACAAGTGAACAAAAGTGTGTGATGGGTGTGTCTGCCTGTTGATGTCCATCTATGTGGCAAGTCCATAGTACATAACCCACACCATCCTTACCCGGTGCTGACTGCTGGTCTTCAGCTGTTTCATGCATCTGTGATATTTTTTTCCTCCCCTCTGTAGGGCAGACTCCCTAAGAGGAAGGCCTGATTCTTTACAACCTTGCCGAAGGCTGATGGCAAAGGCTTCCGTCCATCACCAAAATCTGACTTCCAGAATGAACACGCAAGCCTGCACATGAGCTGCTTCTTTGCTTTATCTGTTTCGAGGCTGTGTTATTAGGAGTGTACGAGTTTGGGGGTGTTCTATCCTGGGGAATTGGAGCTTTGGTGGTAAAATATGCAGCTGCCCTTGTGAATCCGAGTTGTGTTACTTCCTTACATTCTGTCTTCCATACACAGCTCCATCAGCTTTCTTGTCTTGCTGTTTGCATGATGCATCTTCTCTTTCTGTGACTTTCAAACTTTCTGTATCCTTATCTGTTAAGATGTATTACTTGTAAACAATTCAGAATTGGATGGAGTTGTAACTTTGAGAATTAAACCCACCGCTGCAGTGAGTGGACTTGTGGTTCCTGAGTCCCACCTCCCATGCAGGAGTCAGTCCTGGGTGATGGCAAAGTGGGATGAGCAGGTGGGAAGGCCCCGCCCTCACTGAGGGACCACAACGATCGGGGGCGGGCAAAGGACTGGCTCTGGCTTTGAGCCTCGACTCCACCATCACCTCCCTGAGTGCCTTCTGTCCCCACGGAGCTGCCTTGTCTTCTGTAAAATGGAGACAGCCACCTCCTCCCCGACCCCACCAGGCTGCTCTGCGCTGGTCTGCCCTCCATCTATCAGCGAGTGCTGAGAAGTGTCGTCCCTGGGCCTTCTGGGGAGGGGACCTGAGTTGCGTTAGAGCTGGGCAGGCATAGCCCAGCCTCGCCTGAGCCTCCCCAGGCCCCCTCCATCCTGTCCCTGTGTCCACCAAGGGTCAGGTAAAAGACGTCAGCCCGCATGGGGACTCATGGGATCTCAGAGGAGGCGCTTTCATCCCAGGTAAGGCCGGGACAGATGTGGCTCTTACATCGCCTAGGCCTCATTTTCTGGGTCAAAGTTGTGCCCGTCCTTGACTCGGGAGCTCCAGTTCGGACTCACAGAGCCCAGGGCACACTCAGGCCAGGGTCATAAACAGGACAGCGAGGCTGACCAAGGGGGCTGGATGGGGGGACCCAGGTGGGCATGACCAGGAGAGCCAGGGTGGCCGGGGAGGCCGGGACAGCAGGGGGCCGCCAGGTTGACTCCCTCTGCCCTGGTCAGACAGCTCCACTTTGGTCCGCTCCTGTCCATTCTGCTGCCCAGCCCCGTGCCCCCAGAGGCTCCTCTCAGCCCCCTTTGCCAAGGGGACGTTTGCCCTTCCAGACCTGGCTCCCTGCGGTCTGCCTGGCTGAGAGCCAGGAGGATGCAGAAGAGGGAAGCGAAACGCAGAGCCGTTTGGCCCAGAAACAGAACGTGGCAACCGCTTGTTGCAGTTCAGTCACTCAGTCGTGCCAGACTCTCTGTGACCCCAGGGACTGCAGCCCGCCAGGCTCCTCTGTCCCTGGGATCCTCCAGGCAGGAATGCTGGAGTGGGTTGCTATGGCCTTCTCCAGAGGATCTTTCTAGCCCAGGGATCAAACCTGGGTCTCCTGCATTGGCAAGTGGGTTCTTCACTGTCTGAGCACCATACTTTTCAGCAAATCCGAAGCCTGGCAAGAAGTTGCAAGTTAACAGTGAACAGACGAATGGATGAATGCTTAGTATCCTCCATCCTAAAACAAACCAGCCTCAGGGTTGGAGCGGTGACTCCAGACAAGACAGAGCAGAGGTGAAGCTCGTTCTGAAAATTGGAGAAAAGGTGAAGATACACGCCCTGGGTTTCCCAGGTGGTGCTAGCGGTAAAGAACCCGCCTGCTGAGGCAGGAGATGCAAGAGATGCAGGTTTGATCCCCAGATCGGGAAGATCCCCTGGAGGAGGGCATGGCAACCCACTCCAGTATTCTTGCTGGAAGATCCCATGGACAGAGGAGCTGGGCAGGCTACAGTCCGCGGGTTTGCAAACAGCCGAACAGCACTAAGCGCGTGCACACTTACACACGCACGCACACACACGCGTGCACACACACACACATGTGCGCACACACACACACATGCACACACACACACACAAGCACACACACAGCTCAGGGACACCCCCCTGCCCAGCTTCCTGGGCAGAGGCCGGAGGAGTCTTTACTAGGCGTGCTTATTTCCTGTAGCTTATTTAATAAATGACCACAAACTTAGCATCTTAGAACAAATTCGGACTAATTTCTCTGAGTGGACTTGGAGGTATTTTTTTTTTTTTTAATTAGGAAAAAGCAACTCCTCGTAGGAATACTTTAGCCTGTTGCTGCCTGAAAGATCACTAAAGTACGATGCTACAGAGTGCTTCTGGCAGAAAAAGCATTCATTGACCCAAAGGAGACTGATTAGCTGAATCATGGCAGATGCTTCACTTCCCAACCTTTTCAGCCAATAACATTTTTGCACGGACTTAGGGTCCTATTTTCCATGTTTCTCTCTTAGTTGGATCAGAATCAGATCTTCAGCATTTTAAACTGCGTAACATATTTACATTTGCTAAAAGTGAAAGTGGAATGGAATCACTACGGCAAAATGTTTCAGACTTCCCTGGTGGTCCAACGGTTAAGAATCCACCTGCCAATGCAGAGGACACAGGTTCGATCCCCAGTCTGGGAAGATCCCACATGCCAAGGGGTAACTAAGCCCGTGCACCACCACTACCGAAGCTCACGTGCCGCAGAGCCTGCTGCTCCACAAGAGAAGCTGCTGCGGTGGGAAGCCTGAGATCTGCAGCCAGAGAGCGGCCCCCGCTCACCCCAACCACAGAAAAGCCCGTGCACGCAACCAAGACCCAGGGCAGCCAAACACGAATGCAGAAAAATAAAATAAGCTTCATCAATAGACACTGACGCTTGCATTTTATACCAGTCTCGTATGTCACAAAACAGTCTTCTGAGTTTTTTCAACCACTACTAAATGTAAAAGTCGTTCTTAGCTTGTGGGCTGTACCCAAAGAAAGGGGCAGGGGCCCAGATTTGGTCTGAGGGCAGCTGTTTGACAACCCCTGATCCAAATAGCATCGGGAAAATGGTTTACTGAATTCTGGGGGAGCTCCATGATGTAATACGATGAAGCGGTTTTGAATGACAATTGTGAAAAATATTTTTAAAACATGGGAAAATATTTATGACACATCAAGTGGAAAATAGCCGAACACACAAGGGTATGAACAGCCGGGTGGTAACCATGTAAAAATGTGCAAACATATGGAGGGTAATCTGCAAACTATTAAAAAGGCCCAGCTGGGTAAGCAGAGTAAGATGGTTTCATCATTCGTTTTTGCAATTTTTTTTTTTCAAGAGGGCTCAGTATAATTCTTGGCTCAGGGTGATTCGTGGTAAAGTGAAATTTCAGAGGTTGGGGGAGGCAGCATAGCCAGTGATCAAGATCATAACTCTGGGCTATATTGGGGGTTGGAACCCAGTTCTGGTCGTCACGCACTGCTGAGCCCCGGCTCCCTCTTCTCGGAGCAGTGGAGAGTGAGAGGGTGAGTCCGGAGGGTGAGCTCTGAGCGGAGCCTTCCTCCCACCATGGCCTGCTCAGCCACCGTGCCTCACGGGCGCCTCCCTCGCAGCTCTTCCCTGGGTCCCCGTGGTCAGCCAGCTCTCTGAGGCTGCTCCTCAACAGCCTGGGTCATGGGGGCCCACCCTGCCCTCACCAGCGCTAACCCAGCTCCTCCATCAGAAGGAGGCACCTCCGGAGTGCAGAGGCTCAGAGGCCGGTCCTAAAGAGCCTGGCTCAACGGCAGGCCAGAAGGCTCAAGCCACCATGTGCTTTTCAAGAAGTCCAGGGGACACAGAGTGACCATCTGACCCAGCACTTCCACTCCAAGAGAAGTGAAAACAGATCCAGGTAAAAACTCGTACTCAAATGTTCCCAGCAGTGCTATGCACAGCACCCAGAGAGTGGGAAAGTCCAAAAGCCCACCAGCCCGACGGATAACAAGATGTGGTCGGGCCATCCCATGCAACAGTGTTCAGGTGTAAGAAGGAATTTATACTGACACATGGATGAATCTTGACAAGGTTCAGTGAAAAAAGCCAGACACTCAAGACTACATATTGTACGATTCCATCTGCATTAAATGTCCAAAGTAAGCGAATCCAAAGAGACAGAAAGGAGGTTTGTGCTTGCCTGGGGCTGGGAATCAGGGACTGGGCAATGACTGCTGGTGGGTCTGGGGTTTCCTTCTAGAGGGATGAAAACATTTTGGAACCAGATAGAGGTGAGAGATGGGATGAGATGGTTGGACGGCGTCATTGACTCAGTGGACATCAATTTGAGCGAACTCGGGGAGACAGTAAAGAACAGGAAAGTCTGGCGTGCTGCAGTCCGTGGGTCGCAGAGTCCGTCCTGACTTAGCGACTCAACAGCAGTAACAAGAGATGATAGCTGTGTGACATTAAGAACGCCTCTGAGCGGCTCACTTTAAATTGGCTGGTTTTAGGGCTTCCCTTGGTGGCTCAGTGGTGAAGAATCTGCCTGCCCGTGCAGGAGACGCAGGTCCGTCCCAGATCCAGGAGAAGCCCACAGGCTGCGGAGCAACCACGCCCGCGCGCTATAACTATTGAGCCTGTGGTATAGAGCCCTGGAGCCGCAACTGCTGCAGCCTGGGTGCCCTGCAGCCCACGCTCCGCAGCGAGAAGCCACCGCAGTGAGCATCCCTCGCCCCACAACCAGAGAGCACGCCTGTGCAGCACATCCAAAAACAAGTTACTCTTTAAATGGTTGATTTTAGGAACTCCCTGGCAGTCCAGTGGTTAAGCCTTCATGCTTCCGGTGCAAGGGGCGTGGGTTTGATCCCTGGTTGGGAAACTAAGATCCCACAGGCCACGTGGCCAAAACAAAACAATGAATTAAAGTGGCTAATTTTACGTTGTGTGAATTTTACGTTAAAAAAGAAGTCGAGAAGGAGCTGGCCAGAGTGGGGGGAGGGGGGATACAGCAGCTGAACGGTGCCATCAAGAACAGGCCCAGATGTCAGAAGCACACAAATAGGTAACATCG